GAAAGTACTTACTACCCAGCTCTAGGGAATGCAGTCTGCAGGCAGCCCAGCTATCAGTTTCTTCAGGTTTGCCTCAGCTGTAGAGTCACCTCTCCTGAGATCATGCCTTTCTCAAGGCAGCCCATATGAATGAGCAAGGCAAGAGTTGAAGGGTCCTCAGCATTGTGGTTGAGGGCAAAAAACTGTGGAGGGCACTCTTCTCTTCATAGCTCCTGCTGGATTGGTCAAGCCTTGTTGGCCTGCATCAGTTCAGTCTCTTCCTGCGCCCTCATCCCTCTGCGTCTTCCCCTTCCCTCTCATATCTTCACTCTAAAAACCATCTCCACATTTGCTTCCAGAAAACACAACCTGAGACAGAGAAGTAAACTAGAGGGTATTTCTCTTGATTATCTTAAACAGCAACCAAAAAAAAGTATGCAAATAAATAAATAAATAAATATTTGCAACATATATTATTGAACTCTCTCAATTTAAATCTGAAATATACATGGGCTTAGCATGAATATATGGTTTTGGATACAGATATTTTTATTAATATTATTTAACACACAATACTATATAGCAAATCTGCCCACGTATTGGTCTTTTGCAGTGCCCTTGTGCTATTCCATAGTGGATTTCTTAACTGTCTCCAAATGTATGGCTTTCGATTGTTTCCTGTTTTTTCACTGTTTAAAATAGTGCTGTTATAAATATTGTTGCACAAATTGCTGTCTTTCTTTTTTGATTAATTCCTTTGATAAATGCTTTTCAAGAGTTGGATTAGAGTCCTCTGAATACCAGCACAGGGACCAGTTAGGAGAGGAGAAGGGAGAATAGAGAGGAAAGAACGAAGATTCACGTAACCACCAGCTTTTCCTTTCTCACTGATGCTGTTAAAAATCATTCATTCATTGCTAGACATTTGTATAATATAGTTTTAAAGAAAAATAACAGCTGAGGGGAGCTACAGAAAAGAAGCATAGAAATTACGTTGAGTTATTTTTCTTATGCATGTAAAGTTGCTCTGTGAGAAAAGAGCACTCAGCAGATGTACAGATCCATTATCTTCTCACATGGTAATAGGTTCCTCCTTCCAGAAAATGTGAGCAGGTTTGGAACATTAATACACATAGACTGAGGTGCAAAGCAGAGAACATGAATATGATTGGCCAGAAATAATGGAACACAGGTGAGCTTAAATCAGGACATTAAACACTGAGGTTCACCATGTAATGAAGCATCCAAATGTATAATAATCCTGCTAAATACTGGGAGTAGCACATTTCCAGCAGAAGTATCGACATGCCCCTCCTACATTGAAACCCAAGGACAATGGTATCACATATTGTCATTTCAGCCTTGACTCTCTCCAAAGGCTCATGGGATCCTACTTCCTGACTGACATAACCTGTGTTTTCAGAAACAGGTGTCTGTAAGTCTATATCAGATGATAAGTATTAAAGACAGAAGATGAGAATTCTGGAGCAGCCTACTTAATTCATTCTTACTTGTCATTGCTACTATTTGCTACGCTATTATAGACGGAGATCCATACACTAAGAAGTCCCCTCTTGTCTTGAAATTTTAAATTGTATTTTTCTCTGTATTTTTAAACATTAATAAAATTTTAGAAAGCATGATTAACCCCTCATTTTAAAGTTGAGAAAACTAAGAAGTATAAAGTTGAAAGCACTTGCCTAGATTCAGGTAATGAATTTTCTGTAAATTTGTACAAAAATACAGTGTCTCTTGGCTCTTGATACAACTTTTTTTTCACCACATTATTCTAAGAAACTTTGGAAGTATTTTTAAAACAATATTGCATTATGGTTGAAGAATACAAGTTCTGAAGTTAGGAAGACCAAGGTAACAAAAGGAATATTTAACTCCTCTAAGCTTAGTTTATTCATTAGTGAAAGTATTATTACTCTTTATGACAGTATTGTTGAAAGCTTCAAATGACATAGAACATGCTTAAGTACCAAAAACAATTCATTATAATTACTATTGCATATGTAAGTAAAATTTGTTCACTATATATTACCATAGTCTTCAAAAACTGCACATAGACTTTTATCAAGTTTGGAGATTAGTCTCATTGAAATTGTAAGTCAGGTGTCATATTCAAATTCATGCTGACTTCTGATTCTGGGGAAATGCCTAAGGAGTAGTATCTCATAATCCCTATTCTGCCTACTAGAATCCTGGATGTTATATATAAAATAAACAGAAGAAGATGTTGAAAGGTGAAAAGAAAAAAGTCAGAACCCAAGCAACTACAAGGTAGTGAATTTCTTGCATTTTCTTCTTGCCTCATACCTTCCAGAATGGGTACTGAAGAAGCCAGCAACCCGAAAACACTAATGACACAGACCAACAAAAACCCCAAGAAAAGTCTACTCTCTCTTGACAATGGGCCAAGAAAGGGGCAGCTCAACAAGACAGAACACATTTAGACAATAACCACAGAAAATCTTGCAGTCCCATCAGTACAAGCCAGGGCCCAGTGGAGAGTTTAGACTCCACCCTTGCCAGGGGATAAGGAGGTACCACAACCTCCGCCCCCCCACCCCACCTCCAGGGTGGTATCAAAGAGGGCCTGTGGGAAGCCAGGACTTTCATCTCTACTTGTTGGTAAAGAGGACCTCCTCTGTAGTGTCATGAGAGATAATGGGGGAGTGAGGGGAGACTTGGATTTCCACCCCACACAACTCCCTGCAACCTAAACCTCAAACCTTTTACAAACATTAATTCAAAATAAATCATAGACTTAAATATACAATGTAAACCTGTAAGACTTTTAAAAAATAACATGAGACAATTTTCCAGCCCTAGGGCTCTATGAAGCGTTCTTAGACATGACACCAAAATCACAATCCATAAAAGTATTTCACAATAAATTGGACCTCACCAAAATTAAAAACTTTTGCTCTGTGAAAGATCTTATTAAGAGGTTGAAAAGACAAGCTACAAAGTAGGAAAAATTGTTTGCAAACATCTGACAAAGTACTTATCTAGAACTTTTAAAACTGAACAGTAAAAACAATCTAATTAGAACATGGGCAAAGACATGAAGAGACATTTTTACCAAAGATGGCATGTAAACATGTGGGAAAAAATGTTCAGCATCACTAGCTGTTAGGGAAATGCAAATTCAAGCCATGATGAGATATCACTATACACCTCTCAGCATGATGAAATAAAACTATTTTATATCTAATTTTATATCTTGCTAGCAAGTGCTAGCAAGAATACAGAGACACGATCTGTTATACATTGCTGGTAGGAATATAAAATGGTGCAGCCACTCTGGAAAACAGGTTGGCAATTTCTTAAAACAATTAAACATACACTTACCATACAACCCAGCAACTGCACTCCTAGGCATTTATCTCAGAGAAATGAAACAGCTTTTGTAGCAGCTTTATTGTAATAGCTCAAAACTGGAAACAACCAAGATATAATCCTTCTCAGCAACAGAAAGAAAGGAACTATTGATACACACAACTTGGATGGATCTCAAGGACATTGGGCTACGTGGAAAAAAAAATTGTTCAAAAGGCTACAAAGGCTGTGAGTCTATTTATATTAACATTCTTGAGAAATGATAAAATTGTAGAAAGGGGAAATAGATTAAAGGTTTGCCAGGGGTTAGGAATGGTGTGGGGGAGAGAGTCGGCCTTGGCTATAAAGGGGCAGCACTTAATGTAACATCAGTTCAGTGTCTGAAATCGGAGGGAAGTCTTTGTGGTGATGGAATAGTTCTCTTTCTTGATTGCACTGATGGTTGT